TTTCTCAACATAATCTCCTCCAAGGCTGATACATTTCTCATAGCGGTGTTCCAGTCTATTAATGCCATCTCTATAGACTGATTCGTCAAGCTCCTCAAAATAACCATTTACAGCTTCGATTACTTCTTCATTGTCCGCAAATCTCTTACCGCCAAGCCATTTTTTGAGATTAGGGAACAGAAAATAGTCACTCGGGGCTAGGTCTGGAGAGTAAGGAGGGTGCGGCATCAATTCAAACTTTAGATCGTTGATTTTAGCCGTCGCAACGATTGACGTGTGCGCTGGTGCGTTATCGTGATGAAACAAGATTTTTTTCTTCGCCAGATGAGGTCGTTTAATTTTCACCTCGTGGCTCAAACGTTGCAATAAGTCTGCGTAGTATTGACCAGTGATAGTATTACCCTTTGCAAGGTAATCAATGTATATAATACCTCTTGCATCCCAAAAAACAGTAGCCATAACCTTGTTCGCCGAAAAAATTGTTTTTGCCTTCTTTGGAGTTGGTTCCCCTGGTCCAATCCACTGTTTAGACTGTTCTTTGGTTTCAGGAGTGTAGTGGTGGACCCACGTTTCGTCAACGGTTACGAATCGACGCAAAAATTCGCTTGGATTACGCTTATACAATGACAAATTTGCGGTAGAAATGTTTTTTCGAATCAATTTTTGGTCGACTGTTAGCAAACGCGGCACCCATCTTGCACACCCTCGTAAATACTGAAACCACCAAATCCTTCTCCTGGACTTGCTAATTACCTTCCCGAGATAAAAATGTTCAGTCTTTCGGAGTCTCTGAAAGCGAGACTCGAGTCTCCGTCTCTCATCGAGTCTCTCTGGTGTCGCTGAGAGAGACTGTCGAGAGACTGTCAAAAAAACTGTTCAGCGTCTCTGAACGAGAGATTCGAGTCGGTCATAGAGAGAACCTCATTTCGTATTCAGTCTCTGAACGAGAGACTCGAATCTCTCAATAAGTAGTGTTTTAATAGACATAGTTAAAGTTCAACATATTTCAGAGATCCCAGTCATTAGACGAGAGACTCGAGTCTCTCAATTTTTCAGTTTTATTCATTCAGTCTCCATGTGAGAGACTCGAATCTCTGAGTTAACACTTTTATCGTTCAAGTCTCTCATACAGAGACTGTGAGAGATTCATAAAAGCACCTAGGCAATAACTGAGAGACTGTGAAAGACTGTGAGAGACGCTCTCAGAGACGCCGAAAGACTCTGAAAGATTCTGAAATACTCTGAGATACTGGAGAGAGACTGAAAATTTTTATCTAGAGTTCGTTATTCCTTGTTTGCGTAACTCTGGACAACAATGGAGGTAAGGAAGAACGAAAATGTATTATTTCTTAATTTTATGAGAGATTTAATTGCCATTTACTAAAAATTAAAGTTAATTGAAACAATAATAAGTTTTAGAAATTATTATACGTGGCAATGCAAACGCATTTTTTAAGGTACCTATCAAAGATGGGATCATCCGCCTTATAGTCCAGTTCGCACTTTTCCGGTACTTTTTGAAAGGGCCTTGTAATTGTTAATTTTAAATACCAACTGCGGTACAGTACCCAGTAGTACAAAGCAACCTTGTGCCTCCATGTAAATTAAAATTATACAAAACAATAGTAATTTTATGCAGCAGTGCGTTTCAGTGCACCTATTGAATTTGTAGTGCTTAGATTAAACACAGGTTACACAGTTATTATTACCATTGATGACAAATACAGTGCAACAACACACTTATTTTTATTCTATCCGTTTCGTAGATGAAAATCAATGTGTCACACTACGATTTTATACCAAATAGGCATATGTTTGTGAAGGTTAATTTTTATTTGTCACGCTAAGTACAGAGGCTGTTTCAAAAAAAAGGTTATACGCGGTCAATGAATTATTTATTAAATTTATAACTCAGCAACTCTAAGGTCAAGGAATGGGAAGACAAAACCACTCCGCTATTAAGCACTTGTTCAATGAATAAATTCATTTTGGTCCATTACTCGCCTAGAGAAATGGGAAAAGAACAATGGTGGGCATGGTTTTTATCCTCTGGTATAGTCCTAGCAACAATTTCTTGCCAAAATAGTGAAGAGGAGTGGGTAGAGGGTGTTTCAGAAGGAAAGCGTTTCTAAAAGCGGAAGAAACTAATTCTCGTGTGTGTGTGTCTTCTTTACCAAGGATCGTACATCCAGCGTTAGAAACCATTAGGGATCAAAAGAATAGATATAAGGGTAGACATACTAAGAGTTGACATTATATTATTGCTTAGCTAACGTTTCGTTCAGTATACCTTTTTCATCAGAGCTGATTAGATAACTTGAAGGTAGCATATCGCAGAACCTATTATTTCGTTTACCACTATAACAAAAGCTTTAAGACTTAGACAAATACATTCCATCGTATTTGCCAATAACTTTATCAATAATTATGCATAGTCACTGAATATGAATAAATATAGTCTACAAAAGAAGTTTATGTACTACAGTAATTATAAAAATGAAGCATGTACTTCCAAGTAAAAGTTAGAAGTGTCAGGATAAAGAGATATCCTAAAGCCTGTTTATAATAGGGATGCATACGGTTAATGGTTCACATCTTTGTTGCTGGAGTGTTTTCCGCTCTCACCAACGTCCGAAACTACAGTATACTTCGTTTATTTTCTCCAGCGATGTGCCCCTTCCAATGTCTTGGATGCGTAGGTAGGGATAAAAAAGCTCATTATACTCTCGGCTCTTGTTCATTAAACATACTTTTTCATACAGTACCTGCCAACAGTTTTGTTCAATCATGAATAGTGGTGCGAGTCGAAAACAAGCGTTGAAGCCTTTAATATGTCTTCAAATATGAATAAACATCTCGTTGATATTTTCAGTAGTAATTGGTAACAATAATAGCACATTTGAGCAATGCAATTTTAGTGGATAAAATGGTCAATTTTTCCGTGGAGTACTGTACAGATTATACGCTCCTCACCGGTTAAGAGTTTGGCCAAGAGTTGTCTCCTTTCTTTTCTGACCTAGTGCTGTTCTTTTCTAGTTTGCGCCGGTCAAAGTAAAGGTCACATCGCTAGAGAAACTAAACGAAGTATAACTCCCATTGAAAAAGTCGTTTAAACACATAAACCAATGAAATTTTAATTCCTTTTTGGCGAATTTTCAACGAGGTTGAGATTATAACGTTTGTAAATGATGAAATAGTCAATTGAAAACCACAAATGCTATCGCAACGTCATCCGTGATGTTATCATATATATATATATACTTAGTGTTGTTATAGTAATAAAAATAAATAAGTTGTTTGGTCAATCTTGACAACTGTGTTATGTTTTACAAAAATCTAAAACTAACCAATCAAAACACTAATCCGTAAATCTAGTAGTAAACAGTAAAAGTCTCCAAGGTGGCAAAATCATACTACTAAGTTATCGTTAATAAAAACCTAGTCTAAATACCAACAAGCAACAGAAATTGTAACAATTTGGTCATACTGATAATAACTGATGTGTTCTTTTTCACGAGAAAAAGTAAACACAACAACTATTTCAAAATAACAAATAATCTAGTTTAATAATCAATAAATAGTACAAATTAGGATAAACGACCTATCCCAATACAATCTATTTGCATTTTCATTAGGTAGGCTGGTAAAGGTTTAGATGGTGGGATCGAAAGAGGAGGTCTCCCCCACCACTGTACCATAAAAAGTTCGTGGCGGTCTCACCCCCATAAAAAGTTACGGGGGTTAGATGATGGCCCTTCACCCCCGAAGGGGATGGTGTAGGGGGATCGAAAGAGGGTGGTCACTTGAACAAAACCCAATAACCTAACCTAACCTAACCTACCTTATTAATAAAAATATTTAAAAAATGTTTTATATAACTTTCTCAATATTTTTANTAACCTAACCTAACCTAACCTAACCTAACCTACCCTATTGATAAAGATATTTAAACAATGTTTTATATAACTTTCTCAATATTTTTATGTATTTTTCATCAGTTTTACCATTGGCATATTTATTAAATTTGAACCTTCATAACTTTTTATGGGGGTGAGACCGCCTCGAACTTGTTATGGTACAGTGGTGGGGGAGACCTCCTCTTTCGATCCCCCCCTCTCCTACCCCCACCCCCGAAGGGCCATCATCTAGACCTTTACCGGTAGGTTTTTTGTTTTACTTATTTTAAATTATTATTGCTGGTGTTGGTTTTTTCTTTTTTCTCTGGTAGAATTACCCATATTACCAGGACTGCCGGCTAAAAAAATTTTAGTTCCGTCGGGTACTGGATCCAAACCAAGTTCCCGACCTATCTATAATTTATAATTTATAAAAGTCCTATGGTGTAGTTTAATATTCAGAGAATTCGATTACCATAAACTAGTTATTTTGTCGTAAAATACATACAATTGTTTTGCTTTAGATTCTACTTATAATGATCAGAATATGTAAGTTTTTTGGCAGGGTATTATCGATATCGATAAGTTAGTGCTGTTTACGAAAACTTTAAAAGTCAGGTAATCTTATCAATTTGTTTAGTAATTGGTTCGATCGATGATATTGGACTTACACAATTAGCGTGGACATTTTGTGAAAGAATCACATCCCTCAAAACAGATTTTTTACCATTTTCGTGGTCATCTTCTACTTTACAAAGTTCAAAAGATCCGGTTGACCCTTTCCGAATAAAATTGTAGAAAAGGAAAATAAGGGAATTATTAAACCTACCTACCTACTCGGGCCATTATTCGGTACTCAGCCAGATCCTAAAAAAGGGTGCCGGATCCTCTGCATACCGGATCCAAACCGGGTACCCGCACCATCGTTATTTATAATCTATATAAACCTCTATTATTTCTTTTCAATAAACTCGTGCAATTCTTCTTGATAAAAGAGGACTGCGCATCAGGTTGCCTCCAAAATCTTATTGTTTGATCGCAAAAAGTTTTTATACTTATGTGCGTTTTTTTTTTTGTAACAGGCTTAATTTAGAAACATTGCAATACATAAAAAAATATATTTTCTGTAGATTTTTATTAACAGAAGTAATTTATGTAGTAAACAACAAAATAACACAGAAAAATAGTGGTTATGTACTCAATTATATGTTAAAACTTATAATCAGATTCTGATGATGATGATGATTATAGTGTACATTTATTATTTGACCAGATCTTTCCATACTCCTTGGGGATCGTATTTAGCTGCTAAGCTATTGAATTGTTCTGGTTTCTTCTTTCTTACCAAATCTAAACTCTTTTTGATTTGCGTTCTTTCGACATCCGTACATTGTGAACATTTCGTTTTTACAACTTCCGTGATCAAACCTAAAACAAGTCATGTATTAACATTTCAGTTCCGTAATATTTTGAAAATATTTCTTCACTGTCGGACTAAAATGTTGATACAAGTTACAGAAATAGTTTATTTATATGTTCGTTTTATAGAAAAGCCCTGTGAATTTGTCAAAAGAAAATTAAAAAGGTCGCACTGACGTCTAATTTTAAATTTCATAATTTATTATAATTTTTATATTCTTATGATATTAATTTACCTATCAAAATAGAAAATAAATAAATGGAAACGTTTAAGGTGATCACATTAATTAAAAATACAATTTTCCATAGGTTGTTTATTTCTTATGGTGCTTTTTGCATGATTGGATGATCATTATAGAAGTTTATTGAGACTAATTTAGGATTTAAATAAGAAAACGTTTAACAACAAAAAAATTCTTAAGAAGTGCATAACCGTGAATATTTTCTTGACTTTTCAATTAGCTTGAAGGCCAGTATCAATCATTACCTCATTTTAAACTAAAAAGTGTATCATTTGTATTAACTTACTAAAGTCAATTAAAATTATTCTTCGTGAAATCTAACATTTCTATTTTAGAATGAATTTTAATGATAATTCCTCACTGAAATTTTGACATAAATTATTGCGTTTGTGCTTAGTATGCTGCCACATTTATTTTCATGTAGATAACATTTCGTTTTCTTAAATTTTGAGAGTTTAGAATATTCAGTCAACTGTATATTTATCCGATGAATATTAATCTTTTCACAATATTTATAACAAACTAACCATTATTCTGCTCATTTCACATAACAACAAAGAAAATTATAATATTAACGAAGTTCTTCTCTGAATGAAACACTTATGAAAATACTATTAGTCGTAGATAACATAAAATCCTTAAGCTTCATCAACATGTTTAATGTTTCATCATCATTAGGTCGTCAGTTCTACGACTAGTTGGACACGCACCTCCGCTCTTTCATATCCTGAGCTAAACTTCGCATTTCCCTAAAACTAGAACAGCCCACATCCTTAACTATTTGCGAATAGTAATCTAATCTAGGTCTACCTGTATTCCTCTTAACTCCTGTTTCTGTCTCTAATATGTCTTTGACTAAACCTTTATACCTGAGAAGGTGTCCTATCAACCTATCACTTATGTCTTATTGACTTCAATAGATTCCTCTGTTCACCTATTCTTTCTAATATCTCTTAATTTCTAACCTTCTCTCTCCACGGTATCCTTATCATTCTCCTGTAACATCACATTTCGAACGCTTCTAACCTATTCTTTTCCGCAGCGCCCATTGTCCATGTTTCGCAACCGTATAGCGTCGTGCTCCAAACATACACTTTTAAGAGCCTTTTTCGAATTTCTAAATTAACCGTTCGCGAGCATAGAAGTGACTTGTTTTTATTGAAAGCGACTCGATCCTGTGCTATCCTCTGCTTTATGTCACTACTACTCCTTCACTCCTGACTTCCTAGATACCTATGATCAGTCACTTCTTTTAATCTATCTTCTCCTATCTTTACATTCGCTCTTTCTTTACTTTTTTACCCTTGCATATCTGTTTTTTTTGTTTTACTTTTATTTATTTTCATACAATACTGCTTCCATTTTATTTAATGCTATCTCTAACTCCTCCTTGCTAGATACAACTACATCATCTGCAAATCTAAACATACTAATCTTTTGCCCCTTTGTATCTATCCCTACAGTTGTACTATCTTTAATGATGTTGATCGCGGCTTCGATGTATAGATCAAAATGTAGCGGTGACAGTGTGTATCTTTGTTTGATTCCCTTCCTAATATTGACTTCTCTACGTTGCTACTCCAGGTCTACTGCCAGTGCCTACTGCTCTTTAAACAAATTAAGTATCACTCTATTTCTGTAACCCATCTCTACATTTTTAAATATATCTAACACCTTGTCCAATTTAACATCGTCAAAAGTTGTTTCTAAATATACAAATCCTATCCTTTAATGTTTATTTAAAGAAAAAAAAATCAAAATTACCAAAAATAGAAACTTACCTTTAATGGAATTTGCATCTTTGGAGCATCGTCCTTCGTCCGCCAGGCATTTGTAAAAGTTGTTGAACAAACGATCATTGTCAATCACTTGTTCTAAATTAATACTTTGTATCCGACCAATAACATCACGTTGTGCAAAAATTGTTGCTAGTACTGCAAAACAAATGCAGAAAAAAAGCAAAATACGGTTACCCATTTTTAATTCAAAAGAAATGTAAGCAACTATAATATGTTGCTGGCAAGTTTCAGTTAATCTGTTTGAATACAAGTTCAGTCTGCCATTTATAAACAAATAAAATTGAAATAAGGATGCGTATAAAACGAGACAGATACTGCCTAAACAAGTATTTTTCTTTATTTGTTAAAATCAGGGCCATCCATTAATTTTAAAATGTTGTTAACCGGAAAATTTGGTATGACCTTTTTTGACACCTAAAAACTTGCAACAAATATATCTTTACTCATTATACGCGAAATGCTTCACGTATGTATATGTTTATTATTTATTTTGATTATGTAACCAATTTAATTTTAATATTTAATAAATATTCATTTCTTACCACTATTTAATTTATATCACGGTTGCAAGAAATACTTTATGTGTACAAAACAATGACGTTGTATTTACATAAGCTAATTCGAATTATTGGGATAAACATTTTGGGATTTCCGAACACTAATAACATATGATAAAGATTTCGAGGATAAAAAGGCTTCTCATGCCTCGATCTATGTAAACATTTCGCCTTTTGGTGTAAAAAATGATTGAACAAATTTGTGACATTTATTGTCAGACTCGTTTTTGTCAATGCAACAAGTTTTTGAAGTGAAACTACTTTACGTACAGTAGGGTAAGTTCGCTTCATGCGAGTTGCTATGTAACGAAATCATGCAACGCATTTCCCCCGCTGTCTGTCCCTGTGTACGCTCACATCTTTAAAACTACGCAACGGATTTTAATACGTTTTTTTTTAATAAATAGAGTGATTCAAGAGGAATGTTTATATGTATACTACATGCATAATATAGTAGAGAAACACTGACAATTTTAAAGGTTTGTAATGTGATGTCGTAAATAAACACATTTTTTGGGCTTACATTGCTAACGCTGGCTGAACCCTACGAGATAGATCAAAATAATACACTACAGTATTGTACATCTTAAAAAGGTCTACAAGAAAGTCCGCGATGGTATAGGTCTATCTCTCAGGGATAACCCACAATAACAATTTTTTATCCTTTATTTTTTACGAGAAATAATGGCTTATTTATGAAGCGATTTTAAGCATTACAGCATTAATTCTTATCCAATTGACTACTTTTGAAGACGTTGTGCGTTTAATATAGATCAATATGACCCTTTACAGCATGTAATTTAAATAAATATTTTCGAAGATATTACAGACTTAAAACGCAGGGACATAGCGGTTGCGGCGGTACCGGCCGGTTTGTATTGTCCAATGATAAAAAATCTGTGATTGTTGTATATAAAGACATTCTATAGTATCTTTACTATCAGCATTGCACCCGTGGTAAGCAGTGTACAAATAATATCATTAAACCAATTCCTTAACCCCTATCCCGGTATTTTTGTGTGTTTAAAGAAGTTTCACTTCAGTAGCGTATATAAGTATAATTACACGTTGTATTTATTTATTTGACACGGTATCTCAGAGGTCATACAAGCGTTTCGAATCATGGCGTTTTTCAAAATGCTGTTAGCAGTCTCAAAAATGATTTTTGGATCATAGAAAAAACAATTTACAAATGCATACACTAAAAACAATTCATGCTCCACCCTATTTTGTTGTGGTCACTTGTTCTAAAGAAATCTTTTGTGCTTAGTTACGTGATTTGCCCTTAAATTATTAAAATTAAACCCATATTAAGCCTAATTTGACGAGGATAATGCACGTGCACGATATGTAAACCGACACGCATTTAAGTTACCTACTTACGATTACTTACCATACGCCATTAGTGTCATTATATCTAATAAGGACTATTCATATTTAAATGGATGATGGACGTATTCTTGAATCAGAACGATCAGTGAAAACAAAAGTGTATGTTTCATCGGCATTTTGGGGTAAGTAAAATTTATTTGAACGCCAGCTACTTTTAAATGTTTGATTGTATAAGGAATAATGAAACTCGTAATTTTCACAATATTTTATTTTTATCACGACGATTGTTTCGCAAACACAGTAGCTTTTTCAAGTGGAATATTGGTTCAGATACGTCGACGATGTCGAGTCAACACGGAAAAGCATAAATCATTTTTACAATGGGGTAGGTACAGAGATGGAAAATGGCCCTATCTTGATCAATACAGTACGATTCGATTCAAATGGAATCCAACATCCTATTTGCAGTGACGTACACAAAAATTACGTAGTGTTAAGAAAAATAATGTTTATTTTATTAATCTGCTGCTAAATTTTTTTTCGTCACTAACAATATTCAACTTCGGTAACAACTTATACAATACAAACAAATGATATTAGTGACACAGTTAGTGTCGTATCAAGAAAATGTGTCGTCGTCAACTCTAAAAACGAAATTAGTATGGACAATTATTGTATAATATATAATCTGATAATTACCTATTACTGTAATTGTATTGAAAATATGCACCGATTTTTATTAATTAGTATTTAGGAATAGTTACTTTAAGTAATTAGATTAATTTCATTTGGTAACCAACATATGCTTAGATTTGCAGATGATATAGCAGTATTAGCATCTAGCAAGGAGGACCTAGAGATAGCTTTAAATAAAATGGAAGCGGTACTGACAGATCAGTACTGTATGAAAATAAATAAAAGTAAAACTAAAATACTGATATGCAAGGGAAGAAAAAGTAGGGAAAGAGCGAATATAAAGATAGGAGACGAA